TCTCACCTCCTCTACCTCTACTAGCGCCCAGCGCTGAAGACTACTGCTACGGCTACTAGCGCCAGCGTTGAAGACTACTGCTAGCGCTAAGCTACTCCCGCAACGTTCCTCCAGAGTGCTGCTGCCGAATCCTAAAGACTACTACTGCCTCGGCCTCTAACTACCTGTGAAGTGCATGGGAACTCCCTATGTACTACTCGGCCTGCCTCTTGACTGCCTGCAGCTGCAGGGCGGGGCAGTCCAGGAGGCTTCTCTTGCCAATGCCGAAGTGAGCCAGGGCCTGCCGCTGCAGCTCCTGCTAAGGGTGGTGCGGGAACAGGCCACAAAATGCCTGTTCCGAAACCCTGGTTTGGTGCTCAAGTGTTAGGGCAGGTGGATCTTATGAGGGCCTGAATGTGGCCCTCTGTTTCAGGCTGAAAAGAATCAGGGCCTGAAAGGCCCTGTTTTAGGCTGAAACGACATAGGGCCTGCATGCCCTCGTTTTTCAGTCTTTCAGGCTGAAACGACACGGGGCCTGTAAGCCCTTGTTTCTAGGGTTTTAGGCTGAGACTGTGGGACGGGCCCTGCAGGCCCGTGTGGCTGCGCAGTATGCCACACCCCCCCCTCCTTGAGAAACTGAGCTTACCTGCGAGGGCCAAGCTGTCTGTTTGAGGGGGGGACCACAGTCTGGGTGGGAGGGGCAGGTCGTGAAGTTCCGTGAGCTAACCTTTGTCGCTCGTAGTGAGCTTAGATCAGCGGTGGGGATGCTGTCAAATCTGTTCCTGAGATCCACCAAGTGTCGTCGGGATCACATGCTTTGAATGTAACTTTGTACTGTCGAGGCTTGCTGCCGTACTTGTGATCCGTGATGACGTGGTCGACTTCCTGCTGACCATCCATAGATGGAGGGTCCTGCGATCGTCGGCCCGGGAAGTTGTCGCTCTTAGCTGGTGTATATGTTGCCAGCTTCGAGGCGTGGAAGACTGGATGGACCGTTAGATGCGGGGGGATGTTGATCACAAATGAGGGGTCATCAGGCTCATCGCCTGCGGTTGGCCATGGTCCAAACCACTTGCGAAGCAGTTTGCGTACATCCTGTTCCAGTGCAAACTCTTCTGCGGAGACCCATACCAGATCACCGGCGCGGATGGGACAAGGCACACGATGCCTATTGGCTTGCTGCTGCATGCAGACTTGAGCCTTTTGCATGTTCGCGCGGGCTTGAGCCAGCAATTCCCTATACCTTCTAACGAAAGCAGGGGAGCAAGCAGCGTCTATGTCGGCTGCTCGTGGGAGGAGAAGATCAGCGAAGATACGTCCTTTCCGGCCACCGTGGTGCAACTCGAATGGAGTTACGTCGATCGTCGGATGCAACGAAGTGTTGTAGGCGAACTCGATGTCGGGGAGGCGGTCAACCCAATCCTTCTGATCCGGACGGATGAGCGTACAAAGCATGATTTGAGCGGTTTGATGTGCCCGCTCCGTTTGCCCGTCCGTTTGTGGATGCCGAGCCGAACTTGGTTTCATCTTCGTGCCGGAGTCCTGGATGAGAGAAGTCCAAAATGCCGACATGAAGCGAGTGTCGCGGTCGGTGACGATGTCTTTCGGCACTCCATGGTTGCAGATCCAGCTGGTGTGTAGGAGGCGTGCAAGTTCGGGAGCCGTGGCGTAGTACTTGCAAGGAAGAAAGCGCGCATACTTAAACGGTCAACAACCGTGAGGATGCCGTCGTGCCCGAGGTGGTCGTTGGGAAACGGACCGGTGACGTCCATGGCAATGGAGAGGCAGGGTTCCTGTGGGATAGGCATCGGGCGCAACTCGCCGTAGGGATAGCGGTTGCGGGGCTTGCTTCATCGGCAAACTTCGCAAGAGTCGCAATACCGAGTGACATTGGTAATGAGGTCTGGCCATCGGAATCGTTGTCGAAGTTGTGCATTAGTGCGATTGACTTCGAAATGGCCGGCGAGTCGCGAGTCATTGTACTCGCCAAGGAGGCGAGTCCGAAGACGACGGTCTCGTGGGACACACAAGAAGTCCTTGCCTCTCGAGTGGAGGAGCAAGTACCCCTCGACGATGCGATAGTGGCTGGCCGGCGAGTGATCCGAAGAGAGCTGCGCGTACAATGTGGCGAAATCCGGATGAGACTCATAGCTCGGGATGAAGTGTCGCTGGAGTTCCTCGTCAAATGCGAAGGCATGATGTGTCATAGCGCAAAGATCGGGTCTTCGTAGGAGTGCATCTGCTGCGCGATTGGAGAGGCCGGGGAGATGTTTCGGTGTGAAGTCAAATTGGTCAATGCAGTATATCCATTGTCCGATTGTGCTGCTCAGCGTATCCTGCGTCTTGTAGTAGGTCAATGAGTTGTTGTCCGTGACCCATGTGAACCTACGACGCCCAAGGAGGAAGTGCTGCCATCGCTTGAGAGCCATCAAGAACGCGAGCAGCTCCTTCTTCCTTGCATCATAAAGTGAATTGATGGGAGGCACTTTGTGGCTGAAATACTCCACAGGGTGCCGGTCGTCGCCGTCATGTTGTTCCAAGACTGCCCCAATGCCATAGCCGGAAGCGTCGGCTGTCACTCTCGTTGGCAGGGTGGGGTCATAGATGCTAAGGATGGGTGCCATGAGCATGGCGGTCTTGCGTGCTTGGAATGACCGGCGTGCGTCGTCATCGAATACGAATGGCACCTTTGGCGATTGTAATCTCGTCATAGGTGCGACAATCCTTGAGTACCCGGTGATGGAGCGTTGATAGTAGCCTGCCAACCCCATGAATGAACGAACGTCCGTGGTGTTGGTGGGCTCGGGCCATACGCGAATGGCCTCGATCTTGTTCGCAAGCGGACGGATGCCTTGCGGCGTCACATAATGTCCCAAGTATTCCAGCTCTTGCCGTGCGAATTTGCATTTGTCGCGGTTTGCTTTGTACTTGGCTTGTCGTAGCCGCTCCAAAACGGTGCGCAGGTGCTCCACATGCTCGTCCAAACTCCGGCTGTACACCAAGATGTGGTCGAGGTAGATGAGTACGAATCTATCCAGCATGTGTCTGAACTCCGTTGTCATAGCCGCTTGGAATGTGGCCGGGGCATTCGTAAGGCCAAAAGGCATAACCAGCCATTCGAAATGCCCATATCGCGTGTTAAATGCGTTCTTGTAGCGGTCCTCCTGCCGGATCTCGAGTTGGTGATATCCCGATTTGAGGTCAAGCTTGGAGAAGGACTTGGCGCCCCCCAGTCGTTCGAGGAGGTCGTCGACGCGCAAAAGAGGGTTGGCGTTCTTGACGGTTTGCGCATTGAGCTTGCGATAATCGATGCACAACCGCAACTCCTTTTTCTTCATCCGGACAAAGAGAACGGGAGCACGGAATGACGAAGAGCTAGGCCGAATCCAACCTTTCTCTAGAAGATGGTCGAGTTGTGCCCCTAGCATTCTTCCTCGCTCATGCAGTAGATGCAACCACGCGGAGGTACGGCCCCATCCTCGAGGATAATCTCGTGGCGGATGGGCCAATCTGGTACTACTCCGTGCAGTGTTTTGAACATGTCGCTGTAGGCGTCGACAAGCTCGGTGATGCGTGGGTCCGGTGGTGAGTCTGTCGATGAAATGTCTTGGGGCGGGAGGGCGTGGAGAAAACACCCCCCCATCTCCTCGATGTCATCCCGGATGATGGAAGCTCGAACGCTTGCGGCGGACACCATGTGGCAGCTGATCGAAGGGTGAGGAGGAGGCATAGTGCATGGGACTAGTACTCCGTTCCGATCACGAACGTGAACGGTGCGGCGGTAGAAGTTCACCGGGTGATCCTCGCTTCGCAGCCATGACATGCCCAAGATCATGTCGAACTTTGTGTCCAAAATATCGAAGGACACGGCTCGCTTGCATGAGGGGCAAAGTACACGGGGACGACATCAATGCACCGTTTGATTGACTTGTGCGTGTGACCGTCGGCCAACGTGACTTGAGTGGGCTGCGACTTCCTCCGAACGAGTGGACCAAGGCCAGCGCGTGCCATAAAGTCTTGGCTCATGTAGTTGCGAGTAGCTCCACAATTGATCAAAGCACTGCAGGTCGCCTTTCCGATTTGAATGCGTATGTACAACAATTGCGCGTCGGTGTCGTCGTACCGTTGTGTCTTGAACTCGCGGTCGATCTTCGCAATGTGGTTGTGAAGGTCGACAACCTCTACTCCAGCGTCCATCAACGAAGTTGGTACTGCAGTGTGCAAGTAATCCCGCAATTCTGCCATGAGCACGTTGTAATGCGGTTTCGACAGTCGACCGAACTGGGAAAGGGGCATACATTGGAAGTCCAGAAATGTCAACGGGTCGAGCTCGTCAAGTCTTGACCATGTCGTCGAATCCCCGGCGATAGAAGACGGCGAATTTGCCGAATCGGTTGCTGATGGTAGTGAAACCGTGCATGCGGTGGATTGTTGCACGTGGAGTGGTTGGTCCAACGGTGGGACCAAGTGGACAGCATAATCCTCATAAGTAAACCGAGGACTTGTGACATTCATCCTCCCTAGATGTGTAGGAGGCCGCTAGCAAGGCGGCTGAATCTGGCGGACTAAGAGGTGGAGTCGCCTCACCTCCCACGCAACTCAGTTTCCCGAGTTGATGCGAAGCCGAACATCCTCCTTGCCTTGATCCGGGCATTGGGAGGTCTTGTGTTTGGTGCTGTTGCACAAACAGTAGCAGCCGTAGCGGTCGCGCCACTTGTATTCCTCCTCGGTCAAGTGATACTTGACCCATGGTGCTGGCTGTCTGTTTTCGGCCGGTGATGCGGTTTTCGCCTTCGCGTTTCCTCGGGACTTGTTGTTGCTTCGCGGCTGGACAGCAGCCACCTGATCTCCCTCACGTGATGCTTGGGTGGTGCCGGGTCTTCCACAATGTTGTCCCGTTGGACTGCAGCGACATGCTGCAGACGCGGACCAGATTTTCCTTTCTCCACATAGGTTGGCTGCCATGCTGATTTCTCGTGTGCAGCTGCCCTGTTGGTCTTGATGATCTCCCTTGCCTTGTCGATGATTTCGGCGAAGGTTGTGTATTGCTCGCGATCACGAAGTGCGAGGCTCAAGGCGGCACATGACTGGTTGTAGAACTCCCGGCGCAGATGTGAAAATGGCAAGTCAAGATCGGGCATTGCCACGATCTTTGGCCATTCCGTGAGCTTGTCACGTGTCGATGTGTTGCCTTGGGTCGTAGTAAAGAGGCGATTGATGGCGACCGTCGGGGCGTCGTCAACGATGAACCGCTTCTTCCATAGCTTTGTCAACTCTTCCCAAGATATCTTCTTATGAAGATCGGTGACCTGGACGCCGCGAATGGATGCCAAGTGGCTGAGCCAGATCTGGCAACCTCCCTTTGAGTTGAGGAACAGCGTGCCGATATGAGTGCTCGGGCACAAAAAGAATCCGAAGTTCCATTGTAAAGCCCTCCCACCAGGGGAGCGGGTCTTGATGCGTATAGTCATCGAACTTTTCGATGCGGAATGTCGGCATCTTGTAGTGCTGCACACTTGTCTTGCCATTGCTGTTGGGCAGCTGGTGCAGCTGCTGAACCTCGGTCTTCAAGGTGTCCAGCTGCTTGCTGATGGTCGCCGGTGCAGCGAAGGTGCTGATGTCGCCGAGCATTGCGACTACGTGGTCAACTCGTTCCTCCAACTGGCGGGTAGAGGGTGCACTGCCGGTCTCGTCAGCATTCGGTCTTGGTGCAACTTGCTCCAAGTCCTGTACACGGGAATGAAGTGCCCGTGTAGCATCCTCGTGCAAATCCTTGTGGTTCTGCATTGCCCGTCGGAGAATCGCCAGCTCGGATTGCAGGTGGTTACAAGTGTAGACCAACCGGGTCACAAGCTTGGACAGGAATTGCTTATGCTGCTCCTCCGGTGTCGCGTCGTCGTGCTCCTCGGATGGTTGAAAGTGCCAGAAGTTGAGCTTTTCCATGCTGGTGGCTTCATGCCGCTATAGCAGATGCTGGGCCTCCTTTCGGCAGCCTGGGTATCTGCTTCGGCTTCAGCTTGAAGCCGCTGCTTTTCAACTGTTGCCGCCGCTTCAGGTTGTAGGCGGGCAGCCTCGGTTGCCGACTGACGCTGTTCCTCAGCCTCGATCATTGCAAGCGGAGCTTCGAAACGCTGTCGGTACTTGGCAATGGACTCATTGGCCAGTTGGCCTGGCATGCCCAGAGCTGAGCCCGTCATGGTGGCGGGGCACTGCTGACGTGGCACTGTTGCTGACGTGGTACTGCTGACGTGGCACTGTACCAACCCGGGAATGCATGCAAAGGGGTGGGTGGGAGGGAAAACGAAGGTAGGTAACCAACCCAGCTATAATTTCCTCCCGGTCCTAATCAACAGACTAAAATAAATAAAAAAATAAAAGAAGTGGATCACCCCCTTTTTTTTTTCTTTTTTTTTTTGTATATCTGTTGATCTGGTATGAGTGAGGTATGTTAGAAGAGTACTATGAGCGAGATCTAGGCCAGGTTCCACAAAGTTTCGGCTTTCACAAAAATGCGATCTTGAGAAAAAAAATTTGCGAAATAGAGTAGAGATGCGATTTTCAGAAAAGAATAAATCCAGTTTCTGAGAATATGGCAACCTCCTAATATGCCTGAAACGAAATGCTGGTAGGCTTCGCAAGATTTCGATTTTCAAAAAGAATTTTGCGAGATAGAATGGAGATTCGATTTTCAGAAAAGAATAAATCAGGTTTCCGAGAATATGACCACCTCTGTCATTATCCTAATATGCCTAGAAAACGAAATGTTAACATCAGAAATATTCGGCTATGTATGCGAATATCAGAGAAAAGAGATGCTATCAGGAATTTTCAGATAACACGAAATGCGATTATCAGAAATTTTCAGATATTTGTTGTGTGAAAACGAAATACTCATATCAGAAATTTTCAGGTAAAACCAAAATGCGATTATCACAATTTATCAGAATATTTGTTGCGAGAAAAAAAATTCAGAGATTTGATGAAGTCCTACTTGATTTACTAGCGAGTAATCAATAGATCAAGCAAGCTGGCTACTTGATTCAGCGGGTCCTCTGAATGAGAGGTCCGCTCCGACACCAAACTGTTGCATACTGTAACTGTGCAGACCAGAACAAGAACCGACCTCTCTCACAAAGTACAAGATAGCGTAGCGGAAGACTTAGATACCAATGATCCGAACAATCAATATTGCAATGCAGCCCCGAACATACATCATCATCATCACTCCATGGTGTGAAGGGGCCTGGCGCTCACACAGGAAGAATGCGCCAGTCCCCAACCATACACAGACGAAGAAGAGGGGGGTTAGATGAAGAAGAGGGGGAGATGGGAACACCAAGTCTTCGGCACAGGCCCAAATAGTCCCTTGTCAAAATGTCTGAATCCCAATGTCGAGTCTGGATCCAATGTCGTAAAGTCTCAAGTCACAACTCTCTCTCTTTGTAGTAGTCCGCTGATACTGAGAAGTCAGGTAGTGAGAGGGTGAAGAAGAGATGGTGGACTTAAAAGAGGAAGAAGAAGAACTCTCTCTCTCTCTCTCTCTCTCTCTCTCTCTCTCTCTCTCTCTCTCTCT